GATATAATTTGCCACTGCCTTGTTAATATAGTGTGATATTGAAAAAAACATATGCACTGGATGTGTCTAAAGGTTTGCCTATACTGTAAAAGACAATGCATGAAAAGCTGCCAGAGATGTATGGATAAAAACTATTGTTACAGTTTGCTGGACCACTTCAGCAGAAGTCATACTGCTCGATCATCAGCTTTTGCCATTTGAATAACAACAAAATGAGGGCCCCTGGTTTTTGTATATAAACCACCACCAAAGTCCATCAAAGTACAGCTGGTACAGTGAACTGAAGCACTGAGAAAAAAGCAAGCTACCACCATGGGCAAGGTAACAGTGTTTGGAATTAGTTTAACTAATTAAATAACATTTGATAGACGGTTATTTTGCAGCTATTTTGTATTTGCTTGACGTTTTTAATGGTTAATATAATATAATGCAATTTCGATCTACAGCGTGGTCAGTTCCTTTAACATCAGTGAAATTTTTATACCCATCAATAGGTCATCTTCTACGAGGACAGAAACTTCCAGGGCCGCAACTATGAGTGCATGAGCGACTGTTCTGATATTTCCTCATACCTGGGCCGCGTCGGGTCCATCAGAGTCGAAAGTGGTTGTTTCATTGTCTATGAGCGCAATGGCTTCATGGGCAACCAGTTCTTCCTGAGAAGGGGCGAGTACCATGACATTCAGCGTATGATGAGCATGGGCATGATGTTCGACACTATCAGATCCTGCCGCATGATTCCTTCAGTATGCATTTTATCTTTTGAAACTGTTTTGGAGATTTAGTAATGTACACCAATGCAATTTTCTAAATAATTAATTATTATTTACAATTTCAATTGTACTGTTCAGCTAAACTGATGCGTTTTTTATTGCTTTACAGTACAGGGGATCCTACAGAATGAGGATTTATGAAAGGGATAACTTCGGAGGTCAGATGTACGAGCTGATGGATGACTGTGAGAGCATCCAGGACCGTTACCGCATGTCCGACTGCCAGTCCTGTCATGTGATGGACGGTCACTGGCTCATGTTTGAGCAGCCCCACTATAGAGGCAGGATGATTTACTTCAGGCCTGGAGAGTACAGGAGCTTCAGAGATATGGGATTCAGCAACATGAGATTCATGAGCATGAGGCGTATCACTGACATGTGTTAAATTATTAGAATATAGAAGCAAATAAAGTATTATTTTCAGAAAGACCTGTAGTAAGTGTTGTTTAATTGTAACTAATGCCTAAAAGCGTATATAAATTTAGGCCTAACACAAAAAAAAACAAAACAAATATATTTGAACCCTTGACCTCCATAGTATTTGTTTTTCCTACTGGGGATGTCAGTGGTTAATTTTTAGCTTTCTTCAAAATTTCTTCTTTAGTGTTTGACAGAATAAATAATCTCATTGAACTGCCTGACAAGCCTTTTTGACATTTTTGACTGGAAAACAATCACATAGCCTACACAGCTTTAATGACAAACATTAAAGTAAATTAACTGTGTTTCCTTCATAGAGCCTAAAGCAAGCTCTCTAATTTTCCCTATTAATCACAGCAGAGGCAGAATTGATTATATGAAGTTACCTTATTTTTGCTTTGTAATATATATTTGACCTGTAGAGTGCGCTACAGACTATCTAGTGTACACATACGTAAAAACCACTATTTTTTAATCTGAGATGAGATTCAATGTACATACAATGTTGCCAAGATGAGCCTGGAGCAGCCATGGGGTTAGTTTTTTTCTTAGTTTGTATGGTGTACTATAAAGATAGAATTATTCAGAGAGATCAGAGTTTCGACTTTACTGTGAATTGTTCTACGAATAGCGGTGAGTTTCCCCTCATGTGAGCACGTGCTCACGTGTATTCTTAAATTGATGTAACGTTACAGCAAGAGTGCAATAACTAAGATAGAGCTAAATTGGATTTGCAGGGTTCGTGATTAGCAAAGCTTATGTTTTTTATATTCAAAATATTTAAATAGGCGTGAGGTTGAGTGAATTCAGTGAAGTTAGTGAGCCGGAAAAACTTTAAATAATTGTAGAGGTGACTTGCCTTGGTTCCTAAAAGGGATACAGCTCTGGACAAAATGCGGAGTATCCCTTCTAGACTTACGACACCATTTTGAAAAGTTTGTGACGGATATAAGCTGTTGGAGCGTCATGTCGGATTTGAGTTCAGCATGAGCAATCATTACCATTATTAGGTGTGGAATGTAAACCTTGTTTTCGAGTTGAACATGTGTCTGTGAGAGAACATCAGGTAAGCATCTGTCAGCAATGGCAATTGTTAAAATGTTGTGCTACATCACTAAAACTCACATTCTGTTTAGTCAAGATTAAAATCAAACAAACGTTTAAAAGTAAGGAGTTAAAAATATATATATTTAGCCATTATTGTTGTTTGATTGATGTTTTGACAGATTTGAGATTAATAACATGAAGTTCATTTCTTTGTTTAATGAAAGAAGAACTGCATGTTTCACATGCTTGATCTTTTAATTGTATTTGCTACATTAACATTTACTAATTGTATCTCAGTGTTACCCAGTGCAGTTCATCTGATTTAAACTAGTTTGGACCATCATCATCATTTAAATACAGTGCAATTTGTCGGGACCAATGGTGTTGTGCAGCGGTTCTCAACAGGGGAAAAATCACTAATGTTGATCCTGGACAATCATCATCATTTAAATACAGTGTAAATTCACTAATGTTGATCCTGGATCATCATTCTCCTTTAAATACAGTGTAAATTCACTACTGTTCATCCTGGACCATCATCCTCATTTAAATACAATGTAAACTCAGTAATGTTGATCCTGGACCATCATTCTCATTTAAGCACAGTGTAAATTCACTATTGTTGATCCTGGACCCTCATCCTCATTTAAATACAGTGTAAATTCACTAATCTTTTTCCTGGACCATCATCATTAAAAACAGTGTAAATTCACTAATGTTGATCCTGAACCATCATCCTCATTTAAATACAGTGTAAATTCACTAATATTGATCCAGAACATCATAATTTAAATATTAGTGAAATGTTGATTCATCGTAGAGACTTGCAGAGGGTTTATGTCATGCTTTAATTTGACCTACTGCTGTCCGCTCACTCTTTTTCTCTTTCTGCTGTTAAGTTAATACCGGTGAGGGAAGAATGGAACATGAGGCCCCGTTTACACTAATACGTTTTAGTTTTAAAATCGGCATTTTAGAATGAAAACGATTCACATTCACACTAGTGTTTCAACCAGCGTTTCTGAACAGCTTTGTTTCTGCATTAAACTGCTGAAAACGCACATAACGTGACCCCACACACACTGGCATGCATGGCAGCATGCTTTGAGCAGATCCCCATATGACAGCTGTGCACGTCAGACTGTTCATAAAGGATCTACCACTGGATCTAATCTCACTATATTTGTTAAATTTGATATTTAATTCATCCTGTTGTCTATATCTAACAACATATTCCCTGACTTTGGTCTTTTACCCTATTACTTGTTCTCAGGTAACATGTTTTGGCTGAGCACATTGATAGAGCATTGAGGTTAATATATTAATTAATGTAACAGTGTATACTGATTTTGCATATTGTCTGATTGATTGCCTTTATTTCCTATATTGTATAAGCTTATTGTACATTGTACTTTTATAATGGCAATTATTGATTATTAAAACTGATATTCAGTGAAAGAGAGGGTGTGTTTTGTATTTTCAATGAAAATGAAAGAAGGCAGTTATGTTATCAGCTCCGTTTTGTTATTAATATGGGTGAAGATGATGGTCTTATTATGCAGCTACACAATTCCTCAACGTATTTGATGTCTTTTAAGTTGCTAATATCAAAATGAAAATAGGCAGTTGCTTATATCATGTTTTCATTTTATTGTTAAGATAGTGAAACAGTGTAGCCAGGATGATGTGAATGAGGTTATACAGTACATTGTTCCCTTTGAGAAATTCCTGTCGAGAGTGTTTTCCATATCAAACTTGCTAAGTCTGATCTTACAAGGAGAGGATGCAGGACTGAACTGTGTGTATGCTACTTGATATTTAGGAAAAGCGCCAATAAGATTTTATTGGGGCTTTTATTGGACCTCTGTTTTCAGATGTCTCCGTTTTCCCTCATCCAAACGGAGACGTAGCAGCACGTTTTAGAATGTAAATGGCCTCTCCAGCATTTTCAAAATGCTCCGTTTTCAGGGTTTGAAAACTTTGGCATATTGTGGATGGATGGCTTAACTGTTGCAAAACTTATGTGTTTTAAAACTAAAACTTATTAGTGTAAACGGGGCCTGAGATTGACAGGTTGATGATTGGTGCAGTGGCAGCAGTAATGCGGTTGATTAACCACTTTGTTATGGTAAAGGAGGAGCTAAGCCGAAAGGCAAAGCTCTCGATTTACTGGTCAATCTATGTTCCTGCTCTCACCTATGCTCATGAGATTTGGGTCATGACAAGATATCGGATACAAGCGGCCAAAATGAGTATCCTTCGCACGGTGACAGGGCGCACACTTATAGATTGGGTAAGCAGCTCTGTCACAAAGGAGAAGCTTGGAGTAAAGCTGCTGCTCCTCCACTTTGAGAGAAGTCAGCTGAGGTGGCTTGGGCATCTGTTTTGGATAACACCTGGACCCTAGAGGTGTTCCAACATGTCCTACTGGAAGGAGACCTGGGGGAAGACCCAGGACATGCTGGAGGGACTATGCCTCTCGGCTGGCATGGGAACGCCTCAAGATCCCCCGGAGGACCTGGAAGAAGGGTCTAAGGAGAGTTAAGTCTGGGGTTCTCTCCTAAGATTGCTACCCCAGCGTCATGGACACGGAAAAGTTATTGAAAATAAGATGAGGTGAGATAATAAAAAAACTATAGAGCTGGTTTGTGGGAATGGAATCATTTCTGTTGTGATTTGGTGCTATATGTGTTTTTAAAAAAAGTTTTTCGTATATTTTTTGTTGACATTTACATAAAAAAATGTTCAAAACACACTGCATAATGTTGAATAGAAGTCATTTTATTGAAAATTTTGAATCTTAGTACATAGAGTCTATGATACGCCTCATGCTCATAAATCTCGTGCCACCCATTTCTCTGAAGCTCCTGTACTCTCCAGGCCTCAAGTACATCATCCTGCCTCTGTATTGGGGCTGCTCATACATGAGCCAGTGGCCATCCATCACATGGCAGGACTGGCAGTGAGACATGCGGTAACGGTCCATGATGTTATCACAGTCATCCATGAGCTCGTACATCTGACCTCCAAAGTTCTCTCTCTCGTAGATCTTGAGTCTGTAGGATCCCCTGTGCTGTAGTTAAGTTGTCAACAGGTCACTTATTTTACATACTTTTTACCAATTTAAATTTTAAAAGTATCAAAAATTATTTTTGGGCCTAAGGAGTTAAAACATTTTGTTAAGGATTTTACACATATAAAATGTACATAAAACTCACCATGGGAATCATTCGGCAAGATCTGATGCAATCATTCATTCCAAACATTGACATGTAATCAGCATAATCTCCCTTTCTAAAGAAATACTGATTTCCCATGTAGTTGGGTCGGTCGTACATCATGAAGCAGCCGCTCTCTATTCTGCAAGAGTGACAACGGCTCAAGTAGGAGGACATGTCAGCACAGTCGCTCATGCACTCATAAGAGCGACCCTGAAATTTCCTGTCCTCGTAGAAGATGACCTGGGACAAGCAAAACGTTCAGCATTGAGTGAATTACTGTTTAGTAATTCTATATTCAATATTTATCACCCCCCAAAAAACAGATGACTCTTCAAAATTGACTTGTTGCACACAAATTGCATTTTGACCTGAACTGTCATTATCAGTCTAAAAGGTGAACAAATCACATTGTAGATAAATTGAGCATTTGCTTTTCTTTGATCCTGACTTACCTTTCCGTGCATGGCTGGAGTTGTGATTATTACAAACTTGCTACTGTAACAACAGCCTGCTGCCTTATTTATACCATATGGACTACCAAAGAATTTGTATTCCTATTGTTTAAAAAGTCCCTAGTCAGCTGCATGGTGTAGTGAGTGGTACAATTTGCTACTACAGAACAAAAAAGGGTTATTATTTCAAGGATTGTTGTGGTAGAATATTAGAAAGTTCTGCTTGTTAAGCAATTCTTATAACAAGAAAGCAAAAATACAAAGCAAAAATTGCTAAAATACAGCTCATACTAAATACGCTTGTGTACATAGGGCTAATCTAGACCATCAATTTTATTCCATTGATTGATTCTGTAAACACCAATAATCTCTGTTTGCTTTTTAAAATAGTTCACTAAATGAAGTAGTACACTACAATTTTACATTGGGCTGATGTTAACACTTTGATTAAGGTTAGTTTAATGAAAGGATCCTTTGCATTTCATGATTGACTTTTAGTTTTTTATTTGCTTGTTTGTGTTAATAGAGGATGATACTTTGACAATGAGTCCTAAGGGTATTTTCAGAACTTGGCAAATGTGCTTGGAATGACCTGCAAAAAAGGCTCAATCGTGACACACTTTCGACTCTGAGTACTTTTAAACATCTTTTGTATAACATCTTAAAGGACACTTGTAATTGTTTTTTATGATCTGATCTTTTTATGAATGGTAATTTTGTAATTTTTGTGGTATTTTTTTGTGATTTTTATGTGAAACTTTATGTGCTACCTGCCATCTTGACCAGGTCTCACTGGAAGAATAGACAGTGCTGTCTCAATGTAATCTCCTGGCTAAATAAAGTAAATAATAATAATAATAATATTTACCATAATGTTCACAACAGATTTTTTTATTATTATTATTTTTTTTTTTTTGTGGTTTCGTTATTTGGAAGGTAGATTAGTATATAGTTTGTAGTTTTGAAAATTGTAGGGTGTGTGGTAGCTTGTCCATGAGGAACTTTGTAGCAATTAACTGAAAAGTTATGGGAATGGCATGGCATAATAGAAATGAATGGGCAACAGTTTGCGAGTGACAATCTAGCTACACTTATTGTAACGAGTTGGGTGGAAACAGAGATGAGGATCCAAATGGAGTTTATTCTGACAATGGTCATACAGGCAAGGTCAAAACAGGGACAGATAGAAACATGCAGGAAATCCAAGTCATAATCTAAGTCAAAGGCGAATGGTCAGGACAGGTGGCAAAATAACATGAACAAACAAAGAAACAAGGGTCAAAACATGGCTAGAAAAGGCAAGGCTGACACTTAAAATTACTCACTTACCGCTAATAACATTCAGCAACGCATGAGTGTGTGTGTGCGTGCGTGTGTGAGAGTGTGTGTGTTGTATATAAAGTGCAAGTGATCAGTCTTAACTAGCCTCACCTGTGTGAGTATTTTCAGGGGTGATTTGGAACTGGTGTTTGTGTGAGGTGCCTGATGGGATATATAGTTTGGATAATTGTCAGATGTGTAGTTCTCCAGCAATCTGCAAAGGCTAGCTCCAGTCCGTCCTGTGATGTTTTCCCCTCGTGCTTCTTCAAACAAACCTGTGCTGTAGTTTTGTGAGTCCATAATTTTCTCTCAAAAAATGTGCAAACCACCTTCCAACAAACACATGTGCTGCCGTCAGGTGGTTTAAAAACAAAACAATCAAAAAAATGCCCACTATCAAAAAAAAAAAAAAAACTAAATAAACTCAAAATAACACATAAAAGGGAGAGCCTTTCTCTTCTGTCTGCAGCCTTACACTTCCTATTGCACTCTAGCTCCCTCTAGAGTGCTCAGGGTGGTATGGTCATGAGCAAAAGCAGCTGTCAAGAGATGTCTCTTAAAAATAGGCGCAGCACCAGTAGCCGAGCGAATATTTTAACAATATTAGAAATATAACATAAAATCTGAATAAACATGAATCTGAATAAATTTAATATAGCTTGCATAAAATAAATGTATACAATCAGGTTATCACATTCTGCCTTTTCAAAATAAGATGTCGTCCCCACTTCTGACTGCTTAAATTAGTCAATCACAGTGAAGCAATTCACAGCATTCGGTATTTTCACGACACACAGTTGTTTTATGTAACACTATATATATATATATATATATATATATATATATATATATATATATATATATATATATATATAAATATAAATATATATGTAACGGAGTTAAAATAAGGTTAAAATTCATGGTTCAATTGGGAACACTTACCATTGGTTTTTACCTGCAATAGCATCCATCACAGTAGGGGGCGTTGCTACGTAATTCACCAGCAGTTCTGAGAAGCCTCTTTGCTGGTAAGCTGCTTTGGTGATCGCTGGTCTTATGAGTTATTAATTATCAGGCATTTGTGAAATGTTTAAACTCTTGTTTATTTCACTTTAAGACACTGATATCACCAGAGTTGCAAACCAACTAAATCTTTGGTGCTGTGTTTGTCCCAGGTATGTTTAATTACTATTTTGTGATGTTCTGTGTTAGCCGTAGCACATATGCTACAAATTGCACGTGCTAGAATTATGTGTTTTGCTGTTTATGAGTATTTATGCTGTTCTGTCGTTCCTTTTCTTAAAAAAAAGTGTTGATTATTGGTCACATAAGCTTACTGTTTATTTTCACTAAAGTTTACTGTATTGAAATAGTGATTTATATGAGAGATGAATAGAGGCAGTTTTATTTAATTTTCATGTATGTTTTATTTACATTTATAACCACTATACATCACAATGTATAAGTTTAGACGAAATGTAATGTACCAGCAGTTCTGAGAAGCCTCTCTGCTCACACTGATATCACCAGAGCTGCAAACCAACTAAATCTTTGGTGCTGTGTTTGTCCCAGGACAATAAAAGAAGTTTAAGTGACCACACTTACCTGACTCGCAGCATTCTTCGGCATCCCAGCGCCTACATACAGTCACATTGGTGCCGTGACCCGGATCAATGTGACTGTATGTAGGCGCTGGGATGCTGAAGAATGCTGAGAGTCAGGTAGCACAAATGCCTGATAATTAATAACTCATAAGACCAGCGATCACCAAAGCAGCTTACCAGCAGAGAGGCTTCTCAGAATTGCTGGTGAATTACGTAGCAACACCCCTACTGAAGCTTCTACTTCCTGCTTTGCTACTGTTCGGACGTCTTTGCCCACTGCTCCGCTCTTCGCACTCTTGCTTTTATATCTTATACCCTAATTTTAACTTGAGCCTATCAGCACAGTGCTCAAACAACACGGCTTGAAGATCAGCATCGATTCTACAAACTTTCTGGAATATAGCTTTACTAACAAGAGGGAAATTACCGTCTAAACAATCCTCCCGCTACCAGCTGCTTACATTCCGGAGACGGGAAGACACGGCTGTGAAAATGCCTCTGGATCGGATTAATTCAGATTCTCACTGCTGTACAAACTGCCACAAACTTCTACAAAAGATTGCAGTTCTTGAAACGAAGTTGCTTGCGATCCGACCAGAACTTCAGCTTCCTTGTGGATTCTCTCAGCACACAGCCGGTGAGTCCCATAAATCTGTTCCTGCTACTGTTTTGAGCACAGAAAAACAGAAAAGAACTTTTGAAAATGAGCATTAGCATAAACAAGGTGCGAGACCAAAGGGTACTCGTGGGGTCAGATCATATGCTGCCGCATTAGCGTCTTCTACCCCAAATACAGCTCGGACTCAAATACAGCTTCAGAACAGATATGAAGTTTTGAGTAATATGGGTGAAGAATCCCCAAATGCAGTCAGACAGAGATCGCATGATTCAGCAACTAATTCTGCATGGAACAGAGGCTCAAGGCCGACTAGACAGCGGCATTCTGCTCCGATCGCAACAGAGATAAGAACACTAGTCGTAGGAGATTCAATAATCAAGAATTTCAGGAGCAAATCTACTATGACATACTGCTTTCCTTATGCAACAGTTTCTGATGTAAACAAAGAACTTGAGGAAATTCTGAAAAAGCACAGTACTACAAAACGGATTATCATCCATGTGGGGAAGAATGATATTCGGAAGGAACAGTCAGAACTGCTCAAGAAAAATTTCTGTGAGCTCTTGGAAACAGCTGAAAGATTGAAGGTTCAGCCGTTCATAAGTGGACCACTCCCTGCAAGAGGGACAAATATGTTTTCACGGCTTCTTGGTCTAAATGTATGGCTATAGAAAACATGTAACAAGAAAGGACTGAATTTCATCGACAACTTCAATCTCTTCTGGAACCAAAGACAGCTGTTTACATCAGATGGCCTTCATCCAAACAAACTTGGTGCAAAGGTGCTAAAGGACAATATTTTTTTCTCCCTCAATCATCCATCAGCTGTGTATGCCACTGAAATGAATTGTACACACACACCTAGCAAATGTCCGGATGACCACAGGACCTCAAATCAGCTCCTGAGTGGACTTGTGGCTGACGAATCACCCAAGGACAGTGATAATGCCATGCAGCCAAAACACCCAATGTTGATAGAGACACTATCAGTTGCCCTCTGCTCAACACAGGCAGACTGTAACGCATCAGAACAGCATCAAGTCTCGTCACTAAAAAATGATCCTCAGGAAAACATATTTCTGCAGGCAGAATCTCCAGATGCACAGCCTCTGTCACCGGACACGTTCTCATTGTCACAATGTTCACCACTCTTGGGTTTTTCAAAAAAGATGGAGGAACTGGTGTATGCTGGAACTAAACTTTCACACTCCATTGCCGCAAGCCCCCAGTTACCAACCAAAAAGCGGCCTGCTCCACAACCACCTATGAGCCCACCTGGAAGAGCCCTCCGATCACACCGCCAGGGCCCAAACAACAACGCCCCATCTTCAGCTGGTGAACACAAGAGCTCTCTGTGATGTGTGTCGGGGACCTGCTTAGATAACAGTGTCTTTATCAAATGTTTTCAGAACAAGCAGGAACCCAGTGTGTCTGTAGTAGGGTTGGGCATCTAAGCTATAATGCCGATCCGATACGCATCTCGATACA